AGAGCACAAGCAGGACGAGGGGCAGAGGGAGAGGGAGAAGCAGACTCCCCACTAAGTGCAGAGCATCCCGCCCTCGAGACCATGAACTGAGATGAAGTTAGATGCTTAACTGACTGAGACACCCAGGTGCCCTGAACCTTAGTTCTTCGATCTATAGTACATACCTTTAAGAGCTGATCTGAGGATTAAATAAGAATGAAAGAGAAGGGTCCAGGCTCATGCCTGGAAGTTAGTAAACAGGAACATCATCAAGATTATTCTAGAATTCGGGGCGCCTGGGTGGCTCAGTGGGTTAAAGCCTCTGCCTTCAGCTCAGGTCATGATCTCAGGGTCCTGGGATCGAGTCCCGCATCGGGCTCTCTGCTCAGCAGGGAGCCTGCTTCTCTCTCTCTCTCTGCCTGCCTCTCTGCCTGCTTGTGATCTCTCTCTTTGTCAAATAAATAAATAAAATCTTAAAAAAAAAAAAAAGATTATTCTAGAATTCATCATGTAACTCTTCCCCTCCAAAATCTTGCATGGCTCCCTACCGCCTACGTAAGAGTTCAGATGGCTCCCTACTGCCTACCTAAGAGTTAAGACTTTTCAAGCAGTCAAGGCCCTCCCTGGAACATCTTCCCTGACAAGATTCAACTTTTTCAGCCATTCCTTACACACTCACAACTCCAAGCTACACCAGCCCTGCTGCCTTTCCCTGAGACCCTAAATTTCTCACCTTTATAACTTTGTTCCCAACCCTTCCTCTGATCAGTGGGCTCTTCCCCACACCCTAACTCTACCACTTCAAGGTTTAGCTGGAATCATATTCTTCAAGATCAGTTAATCCTTTTAGAGCAGTTCCATGAGAACAGGAGTGAGCGGGATTCCTGAAAACCTGGGCCAGGTACACCCTAAGCGCTTTGCAAATACTAACTCAAAGAATCTTCAGGGGCGCCTGGGTGGCTCAGTTGGTTAAGCATCTGCCTTCAGTTCAGGTCATGATCCCAGGCTCCTGGGATCGAGCCCTACATTGGGCTCCCTGCTCAGCCGGAAGCCCACTTCTCCCTCTCCCTACTCCCCCTGCTTGTGTTCCCTCTCTCCGTGTGTCTCTGTGTCAAATAAATAAATAAAATCTTTCAAAAAAAAAAAAAAA